TTTCTGCGACTTTGGACAACTCGCCAAGACAATCCAACCATTCTTGGACCTTTTTTTGAAGTGAATCAAATTTTGCCTTCATCGGAGCCGATAAATCCGCCCAAATATCTTCTACCTTCAACTATTCTGATGCCGAACCTGTCAAACAATTGACGAGCTTTTTCAACAAAGTTCGGGTGAAAAACCAAATAACTTTTGCTTGGCTCGGGGTAATAGCCAACTTCGGGCCGTTTTCAGTCAAAGATGACAACCATTCAACCAGGTTTTCTAGTGCGCCGAGAGCTCCCAAATCATCTGCATACCATGTTTGTAAATACTTATCTCGGTCTTTGAGTGATTCAATCAATGGCATCAATGAAACACCATAGAATAACATCGCTAGTGGATCACCCTGTGTAGTGCCTTCACTACTGAAAAGAAGTTCTGTCGTTCCTGCAACAATTAGCGGCGCAAACCCTCTATATGTGTTGAAACGAAATCGTGAGCACCTTGGCCAAAGTATTCTAGCATGCCATAGAGCCATTTTCCTGTTCAATGCATTGAATGCATTTGAGGCATCCATCAACAGAAGACCATGTCCGTCCTCTTTGGTGCTATTATAATCCTTTTTGTTTGTCCATTTTGTTTTCGAAGTTGCATCTAAATTGCTCGTGTTTTATGATTTTTCTGGACGCTGCTTTCTATGAAAAATTGAAAAAATGTTTTTAAAGTTTTCCAATCAACTCAAATTTATAATGTTTTTTTTTTCATTTCTTCCCATTGGAGTTGTTTTGTGATGCTTATTTTAAGCTTTTTTAACCACCAAAATATCAGCCAACTGATTTAGTTTCATGATTGAATCGGAAGATTTTATTTTTTATTTACCGCGCGAACCTTTCCACTATTATGAAGGGATCTCTATGAAACTTTGATTTCCTGGTTAAACTTGGTGTTCAGATGAACCAAGGTGTTCAAGGGATCTCTTTTCTAGAGATTTTCTTATTGACACAAAAATAATAACCCATAAGATATAATTCGAATATAGTTTTGAACTGACAAATTTTAAGGGTTTTTTGTAAGAACTATAGTCAATTATAATCGATTATAAGAGATGATAATCTATTGGAAAATATCACGGTTATAATCAATTTTAAATCCTTTAAACACTTAATTTTGGTAATTATAATCAATTATAATTGTCAAAAAATCATCATAATAATCCGTTATAATCGATTATTTACGACTAAACTTGGATGCGGCAGGGGACCGGCTTACTAGCTTGCTTGCCGTATAAAATGCGCCTATTACGGTAATTAGAATTGAATTTTTTTTCCTCACCTTTGCAACTATAACACAAACTGACGTGTCCGCATCAAATTGAGTAACTATTTTAAGTGCGCATGCTAAGCGGTACACCTGCAAGTCACTACGCCTCATGACTAGTCAGTAAAATAAGGCTTATTACCAGTTGAACCTTAGTTAGTACTAACCTCATTTACACTTTATACTCAATACCTATTTGGCAAATGAGATACATGTTTTGATTGTAGTTTTTTCGCTGCGCTCTTTAGTTACTTCATATACTGCAATCTTGTTTTACTTTGTTAGTACTGATGAAAAGACTGTCAAGCTCTCAAGCGAGATTTTGAAAAATATTAATAAGTAAAAGTGAAAAAGATGGTAATTTAATAGTAGTGAAAAAGATGGAAACTAACGAGTGAAAAAGATGGTAATTTAATAGTTGTTCACTAGTACGCGGATTATTTTCACCCGCGTTTGCTTTACCCTAAAAGAACAGGACTACTTGGTTCAGCGCAAAACTCAGAAAAAACGGATGGTTTCTGGTTTTTCTGAAGTATTTTCTCTGCGAGGACAACTAATTCCGCTCTCATCAAAAAACATGTTCCTTTTGATTCGTATGCTAAAGTCCACGTAAAAACAGGAATCCGTGTGTATCATTAGTTTCAAGGAGGTTGGTCGCGATAAAATCAAACAAGCAGACCAAGACTGCTCGGATCTGAGCAAAATTTTGGACGTATGGAGCAATTAGTCTTAACCTTAAGTCATTGAAGATAGCATCGATAAAAACTATGAGAAAAAACTGTAGAAAAATTATTATTTTTACCCACATTGCATGTTGAAAAACTTAAAAAAATAATGGGAAGTGTGAATATAAGGTTAATTTTTTTCGCTTTTAGGTAAGGCAATAGAAAAAAATCATACAGCTTTTCTGCTTGCTATTTGAAATGGCTAAATCGCATGACTAGCTACCTCGTACGCGCTAGTAGAAATCGAAGAAGACTACTCGATTCAACGCAAAACCCTAAAATTTACGGACGCACCTTAATGTTTCTGAAATACTCGTTTTTTTGTGAAGCAACTAATTCCATACAAAATATTTGACTTGCTTCACGTGTTAAGTAACAAATTGTTTTGCATTATGGCAAAAGTTAGACGAGTTAGCTTGCTTTTCTTCGATTTAAAAGTATTTTTGAGCCAAAGAAAATTTCTGCACATGCTACGCCATCATGATTTTCTTGATAAAATTTGCGCACCAGTAATCGCAAAATAATCAAATTGACAACGTTTGAAACTATCATAACTTTGCAAAAAAATCTAAAGAAATTTGAGCTCAGAGCATCAAGATTTTTGATATGGTTTTTAACATCTGGTCACAAACTGCTTAGTTGCAATTTTAGTTTAGCTGAAGAACAAAGCGGACCGAGAAAAATTATTCTGTCACCTTCTGCGAAAACTGGTAAAAAAAACGCTAAATGCGCGACATGTTTTTAAAATTTTATCTACACCTAAAAAGTTTGAATAAAGATTTCAATTGATTGAATTTTTCTGTTGCAATCTGCTAAAATAATACAGTGCTGATTTAAATTAACCGGACGAACGAAAAATTAAACAAGCAAAATGGTTTCAGGTTACGGTCTTTTTATTTCCTACGGAATAGTTTGAAAAGTTTGTCTTCTTAAGAAAATTTTGGTTTTGTCCTATTTTAAAGACAAATAGCATACAGTGCTGATTTAAATTATCCGGACAAAACTAGCTAAACTTGAAATTTAAAACGCGTTTTTCTCAAATTGGGTTGAGTTTAGGTGAAAACTTATGAAGACAAAACTTGCTTAAGATTTCAGCAGAATTATTATGGTGTAATTTTTTTTGCGAATTTTGGGCCCAAAATTTTACCCCAAAAATGGGTCATTTTGGTTTTTCTTAGTTTATCAAAACTTACGCCAAAAAATACCCAGTCGATCACAGACACAATTATATCAAAATGAGCTTCTTACGTAGGCCAACAAATTTTAAGAAGGGTATATTCTCCAAAACATTGTAAAAGTTAATCTATTTTTGTTTGATAAACAAAAAAGGTCGTTTTTACTATAAAAAATACCAACTATTTATTTAAAAGCAATTTTTAAATGATTTGCAAACTTTTTTGCAGAATATACTTTTCCTAAAGTTTGTTGGGCTACGTAAGGAGCTCACTTTGATATGATTACGTCTGTGATCGACTGGGTATTTTTGGCGTAATTTTTGATTAACTAAGAAAAGCCAAAATGACCCATTTTTGGGGTAAAATTTTGGGCCTGATTTTTGCAAAACAAATTAGATCATATTATTTCTGCTAAAAACTTAAGCAAGTTTTGTCATCAAAAGTTTCCACCAAAACTCAACCCAATTTGAGAAAAACGCGTTTTAAATTTCAACTTTAAGAAATTTTGTCCGTATAATTTAAATCAGCACTGTATGCTATTTGTCTTTAAAATAGGACAAGACCAAAATTTTCTTAAGATGACAAACTTTTTAAATTATTCCGTAGGAATTAGAAAGACCATAACCTGAAACCATTTTGCTTGTTTAATTTTTCTTTTGGAAAATGTGTTGTCTGTCTATTACGCCAAATAAACTTTATCTTGTTTCCTGTTTATCTTATTTCAGACTGAACACAAAGGTATTGATTTTGCCAAAGCTCATTTTTTGTTCTCGTTAAGCATGAACTTGTTCTCGGAGCGATTGAAATTATATATATCTTTTTGTTTTTCGATGTTAATTTTTATACAAGCTGAGTTTTTGTCTGTAAAAAACAAAAAAGAGTCATCCACATACTGAATAATTTGAACCTTGCTTTTTAATGTGTTTTTGAATTCATTCACAAAATGCTTGAAAAAAATTGGATCAAGCACTGAAGAAATCGGTCTGTAATTGATGGGAAGCACAAGTGAAAATTATTTGATTGGAAATAAATAGAACCGAAAAACGCATTTATTGGATCTCTTTTTTTCCTATCTTGGAGTAATGTATGTTCCTTTTAGGTCACAGGTGGAGGTTACTGCAGAGACAAACAAAAAAAACGACAAAATAGACTCGAAAGCTAACAAAAACGAAAAAAAGCTTTGAACACTATAAAATTTGCTGCCAACGGGATTAGAACCCACGACCTTCAAGTATAATGCTTTCACAACTGCGACACCACATAATTAACCCTTGAATTGTAACCTCATCGCAACGAAAAGAAAAAACACATGCTTTTTAATTGCTTGACAAAATGAGAATTTGAACAGCAGAAAAATACTGAAAAAAAGAGCTTTTGATGCGTACAAATTCATGCTAGTTGGACCGGAAAAACGAACTCGTAAAGTGTTTGCTTGTGTAATAATCTGGGAAACGAACCCCTGAATAAAACTTTTTCGGATATACTTAATGAGAAATGAAACGACTACTTTCGAAGTGTTGAAAACATAGCAAAAACAATTTTTTTTCAAATAACATCATTTTTTGAGAGAATTCCATTAGGCAGAGTTGTTATATCTGATTGTTATTTGGAATATTCGATACTATCCTGCAGCAAAATTTTGCCCGCGTCGATCGACTTTTTTCCGAGAGATTAAACGGAAACTGAATATTTTATTTATTCAAAATGTTTTCTTTGTTATGACTTTTGTTCTTAATTTGTTAGTGAACTTACAAAGAAATGTTTCGAAAACTTTTAAAATAAAAATGTAATTACTAACGGCTTTGTTGTTGCATAAAAGTCGGCAACGTAAACATGAAAAGGAAACATAGAAAAACAGTTATTATCCAGACAAAACTTCGAGCTGGTAACACTATGCCTTTCATCATGAGAAGTTCTTCGAACCCGTTGGATTGAGTTGGTGGCATATCTTCGACGAATTTTGAAACTCACGATTTAAAAAAACTTTTGTAATTTTTTGGTGATATTTAAGCAAAATTGTTTCAAGTCGAGTTCAATAAGTGTTACGAAAGTATAAATATGACTGTTCTCAATGTTAATACTGGCACTAAACTCTTGTGATAGAAGAGATATTGCACGATAAAACAAATATTTAATTTCTGTTGATTTTTTTTGATCAGTCCTGTCTGAGCAGGACTTTTCTTGTACGCAGATAATAAAACGTAATAGTTTATTAAAAGCTGAATACAAAATCACTGAAAATAAAAGTAATTAAAACTGAAAACAATACAAATATATATACGGATTAGTTTTTGTATACTCTTGTTTTTGTCTCAGGATTCTCATGCCATCATCTTTTGTTCATGCCACCATTTTGCTACGTATCAACGTTTACAATAAATTGAATACAACACATACTATATTCGTTTTTTTTTCTTTCAAAAGGAGCCCTTTTAAATGGAGTGAGAAGACTCTGGTCCATTTTAAATAACAATTCGAGGCTTTGAGATCCAAAAATCATACAGTTTTTTTCACCAAAAAAACTTTTTACTTAATTTTACAAGAATTTGGAGATGCTTTAGAAGTTCAGTTCATTCAAGAAGTTTTAAATGTAAAAAAACAAGGTCTGTGAGAATATATTAAATGTTACTAGAGAATCAAAATATTTTCACCAAAAAAAACTAAAATAATTTCATCAAAAACATCTATGCCCGCAAATCGAAACATCAATTCTTCCGATTATTCCAATTATTTTTTTTATAAATGTTGAATGAAATTTCCAGGTTTGTATGTAAGCGCTAAATTTTTATAATTCAACTTCTAGCACGAAAGTGTTGCACAGTTGATAATGATTAAATTATACTTTTTTAGATATTATAACATATTTTCTGGAGAGCTCTGGTGAAGCAAAATGTACTAATAGCTTTTTCGCAAAATATACGCTCTGTTTGTTGCCAAAAATTAAGCTTTTGCACTCCAACCATGTCACGAATTGGATATAAAAGGAGGTATGGTGCAAGATGGCATATTTTTGTATGACACTCTGGGTAACCCAGAAAATTTCTGTGTGATATCATGTTAAAACCTAATGGCCGCCATTGGCTGCCAAAAAATCAAAAATTTGAAATTTAATCTGATTGACTCCAAAAATTACATGTGCCATACAGAAAAATTGAATCTCCTTTAAAAAAACTCCAGGAAAGCTGGAAGGAAAAAAAATTGTTGACTTCTTTTGTTTTTCTTTATTTCGCTTTTCGCTTTTCTTCAAATATTATAGCCGGAGCCAGCAACTGGATTTCCTGGTTAAATATAAAACTTACATTAAATATTAAATGTTAGAAAACTTGAAATTTTAAACCATAAAGTCTGATAATTAATATTACAGTTAAAATTATCAATGTTTAAACCATAAAATTAATGCATTTCACTGCAAGCTGGCTTTCATATTATCAAATTATAATTTTTCTAAAAAAATTTGTTCAAACATGAAAATGTCTTAATAATAGGAGAGAAAATTAGGTTTTAAAGTTTTTTGGTTTTTCCAAATCGAATATCAAACAATTTATATTAAAAACATCAAAATTTAAATTAAAAAAAATAATGCATTTTACAATTTTTTGGCATTTTTTTTCTCAATTTTGAGTTTGTTAGCATCTGATAATATGGACGAACAATTTTACGCTGATTGCCCAGCAGGTTGTTCACCTAGTTCAATATAAATCAAACATCAGATATCACATGTTAAAAATTGTCAATCTTCAAACCACAAAAATAATAAAAATCACCAAATCTGGATTCTATATTATCTTATTTTATTTTTGTTGTTAACTTGCTCAAAACTATAGTTTTCAGGAAAGTTGGACGGAATGTATTCTTTTGTATTTTTAAAATATTTTCCCTTGTTTTTGCACTTCTTTACTTCAGATTTTGTGGTTGCAACATTCTGCTCTGTTTCCCCAAACAACTGGTTCTCCTAATCAAGAATAAACTGGATATAAGGTAATATAAGTTAAAAATTATCAAATTTTGAAACAAAAAACTAATGCCAATCACTGCAAGCTGGCTTCTGTTTTATTGCGTAATAAGTTTTTTTTTAAATTCCTTGTAAGCTGGCTTCTGTATTATTGTATTATAAGCTTGTTCAATTTTGCTTTTTCAAATTTTTTTTACAAATCGGATATCAAATATTACATGGTAGAAACTATCAAAAATTGTAAAAAATTATTGTAATTCACTGAAAGCTAGCTTTTATTTTATCTAATTATTAGTTTTTTTTTCAATTTTGCTCAAACTTGAAATTATCAGGAACATTGGAAAAAGAGCGGCGATGAAGTGGATAATCTCCGCCTCTCATTCGAGAGGTGAGATGTTTGTTAAACCCACCATGATCCGTGCTCGTTGCTAGAGAACGAAGCATCATTACCCAGACCAGAAAAATAGCCATAAAAATTGCTTGTAGCTTTTAAGCAGAGGCACAACAGTGATTCTACGTGATGAGCTGAACAGTTCATTTAATGGTCCTTTACTCTGTGTTCTATCCTCCTAACTAGATATAAGACCAGTTTTCACGTTGTTCGAAGAAAAAGACGGAAAAAATATAGAGGGGGACACTTTTATAATTTTCGAAGAAAGTGAAGAAACATTTTTTCATTTCTATTTTTTTTATTCAGTCAAGTTTTGGCTATCTAAAAGGCAGTTTTTAACGACAATTTTCGAAAAACCTTATTGAGGATATTGATTAATAGAGATCAAAAATAAACAAAAAACTAAAAACTAAATCTCAATCTTTTCTTAATTTTCTGGGGATTTAAAATTTGTCCGTTTTGACATGATCCGGACTAATTTATGCGCGCTAAAACTTTTTGATGTATGATGAGAATTTTACTCGACTCACTTATGCGTGGTGATCTATTATTGAGTGTTTAATGATACAAAATTGTTTCAATTTTAATTTAAGCCAGCTAATTTGTCGTTTTAATTTCAAAATTTGTTCGAAGTTCGAATTTGTCCAAACCTTATAGTTTTACAAAAATTTTTAACCAGTAATTATTCGAGACCAATTAAGCGGCAACCGGAACTTTCAGGATTTAGCTCTGATATACGAGCAGCCTTGTTCTGCTTCATTACGAGGCCAAACTGTGCACTCGTTAGTCGCACAGTTTTGTGTCTGTATGTTCCTGGATTCCATAGACAGAACTTTAAACATTTTCCAAAATTTAAGTGGGTTCCAAACAAAAAACATCCGTGGATTCCGCGTACAAATACCTGTAATGGAAATTTTGTCGGCTCTTTCATTGTGTCGCGGATTCGGTAACAAGCCATTATAGCTAGTTCTGGATTCCGCAACTGTAAGTGGATTCCACAAAATGTAAGTGGAATCCGCAAATGCAAGTGGAATCTGCAAATGTAAGTGGAATCGGCAAAATTTGTGAGCGGAATCCTCAAATGCAAGCGGATATCGCAAACTGTAAGTGGGTTCAAAACTTTGTTTTTTTACTAAACTTGCATATGAACAATTAAAAGCTGGAATTCTTATCTATAACAATACGGAATTTAATGGCAAGGACTTAAAAATTGTCAGCGGAATCCACGAAAAAATCTAAAAAGGTTGTTAATTAAATCGGCGGATGTCGACTCTTAGTATTTTGGAAACACAACACCGAATAGGTTCAATATTTGGAGTCATTGGGTTGGGAGCGTATGGAAACACAACGCGCAGCAAATCGCCGAATTAGTTCAATATTTGTGATTGCATAAACCCCAAATACTGATAATCTAGTAGACTCCTACTCTCGTGAATTGAGATCGAAGTTGAAATTGAAGTTGACAGGATTTGAGATCGAAGTTGGGTTGATAGGAATTGAAACCAAACGGTTGGTGTTTCAACTGGTTGTTGAATAATTTAGTATTTGAGATAGATTTATCTGGTGACCAGTAATTAAAAGATATAATTTTAAACGCTATACTACATATATACAAATAAGTAAACGGAATCCGCGAACAAAACGCGGATTCCAATAACAATTTGCGGATACCACTTACAATTTGCGGATTCCGCTTACAGTTGCTGAATCCACAGCAGCTCAGTTTAACTATACAAATGTCTTGACATTTATTTTTGGATTCTACAAACTGTTCTGGATTTCTCACGTACGGTAGCGAATTACGCAAAATCGCCTACTTTTGGAGCAATTTTGAGCGGTACAGTGTTTTAGATATTTGTTTGTGGAATCCAAAATAGCGAAGAAATTGAAAGAAAATTAGCAAAGTTGCGGATTCCGCGACAATTCTGATTTTGGCCTGTTTTGGAATCCGCTTACAATGCACAGAATGCACAGTTTGGCCTTGTGTTGTTCATGCTAACCAGTTTTTTTTAGCTTGGCTGGCATGCGCAACGCAACTATGAAGCAAGTTCTAAAAGAAGAACCCTAGAAAAATGAGGATAGAATAAAACTATGTAGTGATTTTATCTGGGCCAAAAATCATAAGATGATTAAAGAAAGAATAAATTTCAAGGGAAAAAATCCGATCCTACATATTACCTAATTTGAGAATCATCACACTGAAAAGCAGGTTTAGAAACTCAGCCTTTCAATTTGAAACAACAATCAGAAGCTTTCGGTAGTTTTGGACGCTAACAACTGCAATTTCTGATTGAAAATATGAATAACGGGCAAATGTAGAGAGGTCGTGGGCGGAAGAGGTGGGTTGCGGAATGACAAATTTTACAAGTATAACTCTGAAGACAATATTTGTTCGGCTTTTCCAAGTATTTCGCGAGTATTAACAACATAAAATTAATCAACCCTTGGCTCTTATCCATTCCCCACCCCAAAGTTTCTGTTTTTATAGTTGTTTAACGTGTAATTTTTGTTGAACGCCTAATATTACGATGTAAAAAATTTTAAAAAATTTTGTTCAAATTTGTTAAATTGTTCACCTTGCGAATTTTCGTTATATTATGTTAAAATAGTTTTTGGCTCTTTTCAAGTTTTCCTACCCCCTCGTAAAATTAGAAAATATAAGAGCTGAACAATTGTTCATACAGTAATTAGCATGTAAAAAATTTTTGTAGCACCTAAGTACTTGTTCGTACTTTCGTACTTATTTTTATCGTTTAGAACACCAAAAGCAATTTTAAATAGAATCTTATAAAGCAAGTTTTTGAAAAAAAAAAATCAAAAGGGAAAATGGAAAAGAGCCCAATTTTTCAAAGCTGAAATTCAAATGTGGGGGG